ATTTCCTAAATCCACCCCTGGTTCCAACTGTTAATCAGCTCAACTATCTGAAAAGCTGGAGGCATCTTGAAATGTGTGGCTGGAAATAAACCAGCTGCTCTTTCTCCTGAGGGATGCTGCAGGGACACATTTCACCAGCAGGGGTCAGAGTTGTTCCATTTAAACTGCAGTTTTTCCATCATTCAAACTGAGCACAATCACATTTTAAAACCAATAAATATTAAATTTATCATCACTGAATGGGGACCTTTCAACCTCCAGCCAACGGCTACGGAAGTTCAAGTAAAGCAAAAGCATACGGAAATAAAGTTTATTTTCCTCCCGAGACCAGAACAGGTGTTCTGTCAGATGAATATACCCATAGTCAATACCCATTTATCCCTTTAGTTTTTTTTACAAAAAAAATACATTTTAAACAACCTCTGCGAACGTGTATCCATAGGCGGTTCTAGGCAGTGGCCAACAGGGGCCAGAGCCCCCGGAGTACGGATGTACTTAAAACCTACAAAAAAAAAAAAAAAGTAATAATAAAATAAAAGTATTTTCTTGAAAAGGGATGTATTTTGCCTCAATTTGAGCAGGTAGGTATGACATTTCCTAATGTAATAAGATGATTTCAATTTAATAAAAAAAAAAATCCTTATTCTTATTTCATGTAGTTTACATGTAATCATCTTATTTTGAGGCGAAAATTCTATTTTCTTTGGAAATCATCTTTTTTATCCGCTCATTTTAACAAGTTTTTACATTTTATATTACTTTTTGCTTTGCCATACAAAATAAGACATGATAATATGCTTAGTATATCCATCTCCAAACCAGACTCTGATTAGATGGAAAATCTTTGCAGCATGTAGCTGCTGCTAATTGGTGAATTTAATGATTCTCCTTTACAATTTACTAAAAAAAATGCAATCACCTTTAAACTTCAGCCATATTAAGATACAAGCAGGTTTTCATCGTCATTATTTTTGTTCTGTGTCCCCATTAAAAACAGCTTCTCCGCCGGTAAATTTCATCTAGAAGGCCAAAAAAGGAGACTGGAAGAGTTTTGGCTGTAAATTCAAACAGGTGTAGCCTTCGGCGGCCCTCACCGCCCCACGTAACGACTCTGTATGCCAGTGAAATGCGACCGCAAATCAGATGTCTCACAGCTACAGATCTGATGATGTTACACTGAGAGGCAGGACACAGGAGCAAAGGGAGAGACAAAGATTCCAAACGCTCTGAACACAGATAGCTGCACCCAACTCTGTACATTTGGCTAAAGAAAATTAGCATAAATGGAAATAAGTGTAAATTATTGGAGGGGACATGTCAACACCAGTCCTTAAGAAAATCTTTCTGTGTGGGGATTCAGGACTTGCTGGGTTCTCAGGTTCTGAAGGGTCCAGCCAAACCTTGTGAGTCCACCTTAAATCCTGCGGGACAGGAACTGGTCCTTAAGAACCTCTTCCTCCTTTTCCACGTGTGGCGCTGCTGTTTTTAGACACAAAGGCCTCTCAGGCAGTTTTCTCTGAAGAAATCCAACCGGTTTTTCAGAACCTAATCTGGGTCGAATTCCAGGAACAACTGGGGAAAAAAAAATAATCAGAAAAGACGTGAGGAGGAATAAAAAGTCCCAATTGTTCAGAACGTGCATCCCTGCAGGAATTCTGGTTCTTATCAGGCCCACTCGGCTCTTTGGATCCAGAAATCTCTTCCCGCCTGGATTAATCCCAGCAGGAGCATCGCTGGGGAACTTCCAGATGTTACAGATCCTCTTTTAGAAATCATACTCTGAATAAAATGGACATTTCTAAATTCAATTTAAAACTGAAGACACAAAAAAAGCTTTTATTTTTCAGAACGTACATCTTTAATGAAGCATTATTGTCAAAAATGGACATTAAATGTTATTGACACATCATTTTTAGAGTAAAGAACAATAAAAAAACATTTATAAAAAAACTAAGCATCCTCAGAGGAGAACCCTGAAAAATATAAAACATTCCCAGAAGAAAACGCAAAATAAAGCAAAAAGCATCAATAAAGTATGGAAGTGTATTGCATTCACCAAAGAACATAAAATCAGACAGCTTATCTCATAAGTACGAGATCAGTATCTCGTCATTATGCGAGTTTATCTCCTAATTATAAAATTATGGAAAGGGGAGATTTTCAGGAATGATCCATGTTTCCTGAGCCATGATGATGAGCAGTTCTCAGCTGATCAGGAACCACATCATGCAGTTTTTACATTGCAACCGGTCTAATTAGGGAGTACCAATATGGCGGCTTCACTTCACCCCGTACGACTATCGGACTATCAGTAATCCAGTGAATAACTAGAGATCAGTAATCCTGTATCAGACAGACCGACCCGCTAGACCTACACCATCCCTCTTCATAGCGTAGATTAAAACTTTTAAATAAAATGTTATTTATTTTATTCCCTTGCCAAATTTACACTTATTTACTTAAATTACTAAGTTAGTCATTTGTTATAAGTATATAAGTGTATTTTTCTTATTTTTATTTACTGAAGTGAAAATAATTCTGAGAATTGATAATATTTATGGGTGAATTTATAAATCTGAGATGAGATAATCTGATCATTCTGTCTATCAGACTGAAGATCTCGTTAATAATACTTCCTTTCATTTACATCACTCAAACCGACAGCTCAGTTACACCGAGCCTATTCTGCTCCAATTGGATGTGGTTGCCATAGTAACCACAAAACAACGATCGGCTGTCTCATTTATATACACAATAACATTCATGCAGTGCTTTGATGGACTATTTATGGCTGGATGTGAGGAGCAGCCATGGACCCAAACTGAGGTCTAGATGGGGTATATAAAGGCATATTTAGGCATATTCGCCTCCATGGTTTATAAATCAGGATTTGTTCACCTCCGTGCTTTAAAAATCAGGATCTGTGCATCAGCATGGTTTATAAATCCACATTTGTGCATCAGCATGGTTTATAAATCAGGATTTGTGAGTCAGAATTTTTTATAAATCAGGATCTGTGCTTTTCCATTGTTTATAAATCAGGATTTGTGCTTTTCCATGGTTTATAAATCAGGATTTGTGCTTTTCCATGGTTTATAAATCAGGATTTGTGCTTTTCCATGGTTTATAAATCAGGATTTGTTCACCTCAGTGGTTTATCAGAATTTGTACATTAGCATGGTTTATAAATCCGGATTTGTTCACCTCAGTGGTTTATAAATCATGATTTGTTCACCTCTATGGTTTATATATCCGGATTTGTTCACCTCAGTGGTTTATAAATCAAGATCTGTGCATCAGCATGGTTTGTAAATCCGCATTTGTGCTTTTCCATGGTTTATAAATCAGGATTTGTTCACCTCTGTGGTTTATCAGAATTTGTACATCAGCATGGTTTATAAATCCAGATTTGTTAACCTATATGGTTTATAAATCAGGATTTGTTCACCTCCATGGTTTATAAATCAGGATTTGTTCACCTCCATGGTTTATAAATCAGGATTTGTTCACCTATACGGTTTATAAATCCAGATTTGTTAACCTCCATGGTTTATAAATCAGGATTTGTTCACCTATACGGTTTATAAATCAGGATTTGTTCACCTCTGTGGTTTATCATAATTTGTGCATCAGCATGGTTTATAAATCCAGATTTGTGCATCTCCATGACAGGATTTTTTTTGGCATATGTACACTTCTGCCATGGAGCATACTCATTTTTATAAATGAAACCCCAGAACCTTCCTTCCTGTACATAAAGTAATTTGACTTAAATTTAAATATCTAGTGAATTTATGGCAATCGTCATCAGTCCGATCATGGACCAACCCAGCTGGATTCTTAGTCATTTAACCCCAGACTGGAGTGTAGAAGCCTCATCTCATAACAGCATCCTCCAGGACAGACGGATGGATGTCAGCGGTCTCCAGACTCTGGAGCAGCCTCGCCAGCGTAGCCTTCTTCCCCTCGGACCGCCTCCACAGAACCAGGCCCGCCAGCGCCGCTGCCTGGCTGCTCAGGATGTGATCGGAGCGGCAGCGGTACAGAGCTTCGGCGGACACACCCAGGTCCAACAGAACTTCCTCCCACTCGGCGCCCAGTCTTGAGGCCAGCCGGGACAACTCCTGATCCGAAGGAACCTTCTGCAGGACTGAGTCAGGAAGCTGGCATCTGTCTCCGTGGCAACAGGAAGGAGCAGCAAAGTCATCTGTGGACATTTATTTTTTATTACACATTTTTCTGGAAATCAGCTTCTGTAATTTGTTGACTAAATATTGAATTTCAATACAATTTTAATGTCACCTAAATGCTTTTATTAATTCTGTCTTTAGAACTTTATCAGAACCTTTGACCAAACCTTAAGACATTAAAAAAATTATCTTTAATCAGACTTAGTGAACAAACTAAAAATGTTCATTCTTTAATTTTTGTTGAGATTATAGAAAATGATTTAATTGCATACATTTTTTACTAAAATGTAAAAATCTGATGTTCAGGTTCTACATGAGGAACCCAAACAGCATGAGTCCAAGTCCTGGCCCTGCCCAGGTCTGGGTCCAGTCTGACAGAGAACACATCATTTGAGGGACTGCTATGAAAAAAATGACCAAAGCAGCCAAAGGCCACATTAAAGCACGGTGGAGGATGTATAATGCTGAGGGGATGGAAACTAATGGGCCTAAAGGCTACATGCCGACTGTCAGCTGAGTGTCCATTGCTGATGGACGATGCTGAGAACACATGGGTCAGCTGGAAGAAATGCTGTAGAGAACTCTGGAGGGAACGCTGCAGCAGGGAAAGCTGCAGCAGGGAACGCTGGAGCAGGGGGTGCTGCTGAAAACTCTACAGGGAACTGCTGAGAGCTCTACATGGAACTCTGCAGCAGGGAACNAGCAGGGAACGCTGCAGCAGGGAACGCTGCAGCAGGGAACGCTGCAGCAGGGAACGCTGCAGCAGGGGGTGCTGCTGAAAACTCTACAGGGTACGCTGCAGCAGGGAACACTGCTGAAAACTACAGGGAACTGCTGAGAGCTCTACATGGAACTCTGCAGCAGGGAACGCTGCAGCAGGGAA